GTTTACGAAGTATGGGTTTCAGACTTGCAATCTGCCAACTTTGGCCAGCGCAGAGGTTTGACTCCTGATAAATAAGTAGTAGACTACCAGCAAGACATACTTTGGTGTTCCAATAATGTAGTTCTAATTATTAGCTATAAATCTTCAACTGTTCGACAAAATCAAAAAATACTGCCGATCAATGTGTGGGTCGCAATTTTGTTTCAACTGACGACTATACAGATTGATCTACTTGCATGAAAAACACTATCTTGTCGAATATGTCTTCCGTTACATGACCCCTACATGTAGCTACAGTCCGCCGATAGGTTTGAGGTAATGTGACAAAGACATAGAATAAAGGATGCTGACATACACCCAAATACCCAAACTAATGCAGATTGTTGCTGCGTAGCCAATTTTCCTTGAAAATTGAAAGTGAGAATATTTGAATGGACCATTGAACATTTGTTTACGTTTGAATGCTTTACATACACTAAGAAGAAATGACACTTACACGCACTTTATTGTAAACGTTGGACCCGTGCCTTACAACTGATACGTCAAACAAACAACGCGAACTCTTTGTATATCGGTGCGGAGACGTACGTGGGGCGAGTTGACTCAAAGTTGTTGTAGTAGTATGTAATATACGAGATTTAATCTATTATACACACCCTGTGTAAATCGGAGATGATTGTGTCCCGAGTTACTAGTTTCTTTTGTGTGTTTTTTTTTATTTACAACTTCCCATTAATATGTCGTTATTTATTTTTGACGGGCACAGTGTTTCAAGAATTACTATCTCTATCATATACAAATGCTTTTTAGGTGTTAGTTAAGGGCCTCCACATGGGTAAAAAATAATATGGCTTCTTCCCACTTCACTTTCTATGGGTTTCTGCAGTTTCACTCTTCACATTTTATAAAAAAAATCAATTCACTTCATTTTTTATAACATAAATATTCTTCACTTCACTTTATATAAGCATTCAATTATTGTACTAATTAATATTACTCAGTAACTAGAAACTTTGCATTTCAGATACAATGATTTATTTCATTACAGATGTTATCAGGGTGAACAATTTTCATACTAATAAAGCACTATAGATAGTACTGCTGTTTCTGTTAGTCTCCGATTTGAATTATACAATATACCTTCTGTGCATCCAGTCATAACTTAGCTATATATTGTTTTTTGTCATCTTAAGCACATACATCTCATATTGAGGACATGATGCATGTGCAGGAGTTCATGATTGGACCAAAGTTGATTTATATTCTGAGTTGGCAAGTAATATTATCAATAATCATTAATACTTATAATAAATTTCAAAACAAGAATATGATAGTGCAATAAACTAATTCAGTGACATGACAAGATTTAATCGGTAGAAATCTCCTGGAGTCATGTTACAGAAGAAGAAACTGACCTACTCAATTGCAAGTTTCAACACTTGATATTGTTTTATAATTTTGTGTTCCCAGGGAATTACATTTGTAGTCTACATGTATTTGTATCTGAGGTTGACCAAAATTGTTTTTGACAATATATTCCCCAAATATACATGTTTGAAAGCCCAATTTATAATCAGATGCTCAATAAGAGCTATCACTCTCAAATACATTACATTTACTGTAATTAAGCTCACACAAGTCCTAAATATCAATTTTGACAAAAACTGACAAAAAACGCACCAAAAATACATATTTCAAAGCCAAAATTTTAATCAGCACTGAATCTCACGTGACTTTATAAGATATATTACTCTCAAATACACTGCATCAAAACCTTTCATGTAATCAAGCTCACAAAGGGCCAAAATATTAAAATGACAAAAAACACCAAAAATATATGTTTCCAAGTCCAAATTAAAACAAAACAAAACATATCATAAAAACTTGTTGTGTAATTGGGCTCACCAAGGAGTACTTAAGGTAGCGAGAGGGGAAAAACTAGAAAAAAAAAACATTTTTCAAACAAATTTGGATTATGAAACATTATATTGTGTACTTTCTTTATCTTTGATCCAAATTTACAGACAGCCACAGCATCGAGATGGAAATCCTAGATACAGACACTGGTTAATGGTAGAATTACAGTCTGTAAATAAAGCAACAGTGAGAAACATAGAAAAAAGGAACACCGCGAAACGGCCAATCCCTCAAAAAACTCTATATTTAGGAGGTTCACAAGAACAATTGTAACTTAATCCCCTGAGCAAATATCAATACAAAACATAGATGATCACGAAACATACATGATCGTATTCTGCTATATCTTAGCTTTCTGAAAACATATACATTGCCATAACTACATGCTTAGTAACTGGCGAGGAAAGTCCTAATCTCAATGAAACTATAACTTGTATTTCCCTTCTCGCTACCTTAAAACTTTGGAA